GAAGAGTTTCGTGATGTCGACGGATGTGACTTATAACACAATGCGTTGCGTATTCACTGTAAAAGTTTAAGATAATTTCAATGACAAACAACGGCGTTATAATGTTTTAATTTCACACGGTAGTACGCTCAAAATCCGATGTCCTAAAAACTTCATCATCCAGAGTTATTTAATTTTCTGCACTAAAATAAACATTGCCACGCGATTCAGAAGCATCTCTTACTTATGAACCACATTTTTTTGAGATCACCAGACCAAAGGAATACCCGATCTTGATGGCCTCGAAAAACCGACGTTTCCATCTGAACCATGATTTTTAAAGGTGTTGCTTAGACCCTGTGTTGTAGAAGACATTTCGAACTATCTATTGATGAAACGAAATCGACAGTTTGCTGTTGAAGCTCCATGAGATATGAAGCAGTTGTTCAGCGATTTCTTGAAAAACCGGTCGTTGAATTTCTATCGGAAAACGCTTTTGCTTATGAAAACATGTCTTGAGGTCTTGGCTATTGAATCATGAAAGACCGGAAGTCTTTATCTTCTGCATTCTTTGAGAAACACGGTCACATGTCCTATATTTTGGCGTTTATATTGCTTAGGTGCTTCCACGCAGCTCCGCCCACTTTTTACACCATTTCGAGACGTTCTTGAGCGTGAAAATAAGTTTTAGAATTTCGATTCTTTACAGATCTTCTGTAAATCCGACTTTCCAGATCTGAGGAAGCCCTAATGCACGGTCTTTGAAGTTTCTAGGGTAATTAATGCACACTAAACTGACTTTGTAGTATAATTTTCGTATAAAAAAGACAGACTTTTCGAGAAGATTTTCGAGAATAAAATCGGGGATTTTCGCTGCCCTCAGGATCTAGTAAGTCAAATATCTCGATAACGAAAAGAAATATAAACCTCAGCCTTATGTCATTTAAATGAGCAGGAGCTTGCATACATTTTGAATATGAAAAAGTTGAAATTTTCGTGCTTTTCAACGATTTTGTAGTCATTCTAAAAATGCTTCGGAGGTCCATTTTGGGCTTATTTGCAGAATTTGCCGCCGAGCCACGTAGTTAGCTATAACTTTGGTGCTTATGCTATTTAGACAACTGTTTAAACTTTATCGAATAGCGAACTCAAAAAAAGTTGTTTCTTGATAAAGTCTCGTTTAAAAAAAATTGATCTATTCCTAGGACGAATTTTTGCTAAATACCGCCTTAGCTATTCTTTTCCAGCCACTTTTTTTTTAAAAAGCAAACGTAGATTTCTGCAGAACTCGACATGGGCTACAAAACAGCCTAGTGAGATCTGAGCGGCTAGAAGTCGATGTAAATCTGGGCGGACCAAAATAGAAACAACCATTTAAAGTTATCTGAATCATATCTTAGGAGAGTTAACATTATCAACGAAATCAAAAAGATCTAATAATAGCAGGTGTTCAATACATTTCTAGTTTTCTATATAAGGATACCTCACGAGTTATGATACTGAATCGACACAATTTGTAAATGAAAAGCCATTGATATGTACGTATATGTTACTACGCAATATATAAAAGGCTAATTGTATCGCTTTCCCGATAGTATTTTTTCAATTAATTAGACATTTAGTGACATGACATATAGCGGATCCAATCGACATGTTGGTACGTTAGATAATTCCGTTTCCAGTTAAAAAGAAAGCACTTTGTCGATACTGAAGCAAGACTTGCGTAGATTCGTAGAGCACTATCTGGTAGATCGAAACCATATGCAAAATCCATTTACTTTTTTTGTATCTAACATTCTTACTTTTGAAAGACATGTCAGACGTACATCATCTGTAGATGATATTTATTTGGAGAAAATCTGAGGCAAGTATGTGCTCAGACTTTCGTTATCTATTGCTAAAGACCGCGTGTCACTATCTATTTCCGTTCAAAAGTTTTCAAAAAATTGCCGGGGGGCAATCTTGGAACATGATTTCCCAAGTGTTCTAGGACTGGTATCCGCCAACTCGTGGTAACCAGAAAAACGATTATCGATCATCTCAGTATCGAAAAATCTTTGTTTTTAAAAAAGCTCCTAAAAACTTGATTGAAACCCACTTACACAAAAAGAACAGTTTTTGCCTTTTTTTAAAAAAAATTCGTTTCAGAATGACTTGAAACATTCAGAAAAAACTTAACGGAAGACGTTTAAAACTATTAAATACACTAAAAGTTGGAAAACATTCAAACTACGGCATGTAATAGTTGATACCCTTGGAATAAATAATACAGCATTCTCTATTCATAATCAAACAAGCATATTTAATCTAAACAGACGAGAGTCAATAACGTTGCTTTATTGAATCATGGTATGGTCTAACGTAGAAGTAGCATCTCTTACAATATATCTTTTATCTGATGAAGTTGAAAACTATTTTCGGTATTGCATATTTCTAAATATGCAAGTATCATATACCGGAAAACAATCAAAAGTTCGATGTAACATCATCTTATGAAAATCTTTCCCGTTTATTTCGTTGACAACAGGAATCTAAATGGTAAAGAAAAGATTCTAACATTTTCACAAAAACCACATGATTCAAAACTTGTTCAGAGCTCAGTTTTGTACGGTTAGTATTTTTCTGACTCTGAAATTAAATCACTGCTGAAATGACACTGAATTTTCATATGGATCTCTCACAAACTTTATAAATTTTATCAGGTAACCACGAGCTGGCGAATACCAGTCCTAGAACACTTGGGAAATCCGGTTCTAAGACTGTCCAAATGATGAAAGATAGAATCTTAGACTTGCGTAGAGTATTAATTTATTATAATGCTGGTGGCAATTTTTCCAAAGCTTTTGAACAAAGACAGATAGTGACGTGCGGAGGGATAATGTTGAGAAAGGGAGGATAAGGGATAATTTTTACAGAAAATCGTTAAAAATATTTTGTGCCCCCCCCCCAATTCTAAGCGCATCGCGTCAGCCCTGCCCAACCACATCGTGCTGACAGAGCGTCAAATTCTGAGCAAAATGAGGCATACTCGAGCCTTCTAGCACATCTCTAGGCTGAGATAAGGCTACTTTACTTTCAGAGATCCGGCTGACTCGAAATCCTTTGAGAGATTTGCCAACGACTCGCCTGGAAAGACGCTGGAAAGCCCGGGAAGGTCACATTTTGCTCAACTCGATGCATATTCAGATACGATGCCTCGCGAGGATAATAGGATTCCGAGGGGTTCAGACGGATTTCCAGAGAGTCAGTTTTTCAGTAAACTTCGTCATTACTCTGTGACCCTTCATGAGGCATCGCATCTAAATGTGCATCGAGTTCTGAGCAAAACGTGACCTTCCCAGGCTTTCCAGCATCTTCCTAGGCTGAGTTATTGACAAATCTCTTAAAGGATTTCGAGTCAGCCGGATCTCTGAATTTCGTCTACTTGGAATAAGCTTACTTGTACATTTGATAATTATTGAAACAAGTGACAATTTAATTTTTTTGGCACATATGTAAAAAAGTTATTGAAGCTTGTCGACTACAACTTACTTGAGTGACATTAAGTTGTTTATGGTATTTCAAACAATTTTGAATATCTTATACGTTCTATGAATCAGGACTTGAATTCCTTAGAAACAACTGTATTACATTTGAATGTTCGAAGATTAGGACTTAAAGAGAAATATATTTACAGAAAAGGCATATCTAAACAAAAACGAAATAGTTATTCTACAAAATGATCACATCTACTTTTTACAAGGTTCCTTTAAATCGATTACGGATTAGCAAGTGAATGTATTTCTGATGCACTCAGTTCTCGTCTATATGCATAAAATTCATCCATACTTCCTTGATATCCTGTGCATGGTACATAACCCTCACAAGAACCCCAGGCATAACCAAGTGTAACGTACATTTGTCCGCCACTGGTATAGTAATTTGGAACGGCCACTGAACCGACTGATGCGCCATTTATGTACAACGTGAGACCATTAGTGGTACTGAATGTTGATGCTACATGCGTCCACGTATTTATCGAAATTAACTGAATGTGCACAAACAGTCTAGCTCGATTATTCGACCACTGTGCTCATGGATTGAAGAAAAGAAGCTGACCTTAGCGCTTCGATTAGCTGCTTCTGATTAAAACGACGACTATCTAATAAATGAATACCATATCTGGTCCGAAAAATCCTGGATATGTTCCTAAAGTACTACAATAGAGTTGTGCAGCGATCTGACCACTGTATGTTAAGAAAAGAACATCTTGTTGGTAACAACAACCGCTACTACCACTTGCCATGTGTACAATATTACCACCAGCCACAGATGTAGGATAAATCCAAACGGCAAATGTCCATGGTTTATAGTTGTAAACACCAAACTGAGAAAATGAATACATTTGAAAATATGATGATGTCGTTGTAAAACGAATTCCTTGCTTCACACGCCCAGATGAAGCGGTCAGACTATTATAATTGGTACTATTTATATGATTAACTCCGTTATCATAGTAGGGATTCGGCTGATCAAATGAATAATAAAAAATTTGCGTCGCATCAGTCAATATTTCCGATGTACTTTTCGCTCTAGTTAAAGATAGAATGATGCATCAGTAGAAAAGGATATCGAATTTTTAATAGTCTGCTTCTATCTAAGTTTTTAAAAAAAAGAATTGGAATCCAGACGATGACTTAGTTAAGCGTTTTTCAGCCATCGTACTTTCTTTGTGTTCTCTTGTTCGATGCTCACTATGTACCACTGATAGTGTAGCCCTCCTAACTGATCGCTGCCTCCCTGTCAGTGCCCTAGGATCTCTAAAAGCAGAATCACTATGTCACACCCCAGTAGATCATACCTAGTTGTTAACGCGACATTGTCAATATAACCATAATATTGACTAGATGATCCTGAAAGTATCGAATAGCCAAAATAGATTGTACCATTTGAACCGAGATAGGGAGTGGTCACACTTGAACGAATAGCATCTTGCACGCCATCAATATAAATTATTTGTTGTGATGTTTGATAATTATAAACAAAAGACACGTGATACCATGTATTTGTGGAAAAAGTTGTAGAACCTTGTAAATCGTTGAAATTAAAACCCATATAGAGCTGACTACTTCTAAAAATTAAAAACAAACATTGACTTGTACACGATGTGCATGTACATTGACTAAATAATGGATTGTCACCAGAAAGGGTAGTCGGATAGATCCACATTTCCACTGTAAAACTTTGATAAGTTAAATTAAAATATGTTGTCATTTGAAAAAAATTGTTGGTTCCTGAATACATATACAGACTTTGACCAGTAGTGAAGTATGTACTTCCTGATGCATAATAGATCCAACTTCCAGATATGGTACCATTATACACACTATACATATCATTTCCATTTCCATCTAATGACCAATAAGCAGAATATACCGGAGTATAGACCGTTGTGGTGCTTGTAGTACCTACATGAATCAAAGGAAAAAACTCATTGACTAAAAGCCTAGTTTAGTTCGTACCGTGACGAGAGAAAATGATGGCTATTGGTATGACAATGGCCACTATTGCTAAAATACCAAATATAATTCCAGTAATAATTAAACATTTTTTTGTCATCCATTTAGGACGAGAAAATCTAAAAAATGAGAGAAAAGAAACTCTATTGTCTAAACATAACATTACAAAAAATAACTTACTTTCCTTTGCTTTTGACTTTTGTTTTTTGTGTATATGTAATTGTTCGTGAGGGCGATACTTTTCCCTAATATAAGAATTACATAATCAAAAAATTACATGCCAAACACGGAATTTATCGTTCATAACTTTATTTCTCCTAAAAGGTTTCTGTTATAAAACGTCTCTTTGAGAAGTAAAACTTCATATAGTATAAACAAAAACTTAATAATTCATCCCATCAGAGCAGGCTAAACTCTTCAATAGAGAAGACAACTTCGTTCGATTAACATGGAATGTAGAAAAAATTTGTTTTATTGGAAATCCGTGATAAGCTCTTTTTATCAATTTTCAAAATGTAAATGTTCTCTCGATACGCAAGAAAACTGTTGTGATATTCAAATTCAAGTTAATATTGAATCCTCTACTATCTACAGGGTGGTAAATAATATTATTCAAGGGGCGTAACGCTATAATTCTAAATTGGAGATATGATGAATTTTATACCAAATGAAAGCCCGTGAAAAATGGGATTTAGTGATGCTAAATAGTAAGACTTTGAAGGACTTTCGTGCATTGAATTATCAAAAGTTACGACTTCTTATCGGCACAAAATATTATAACGAGTGTGCTATAATAAACTGGACTAAATGTTACTGCATATTATTCGTATTTTCTCCGCATTTTTCTTATTTGAACGTT